TCCTCAAGTTTTTGAATTTCTAAAACGGAAAAAGAAACTGTCTCTAACATTTATCAGGCAAGTGCAACCGGTTCCACTTTTATAAAACATGATTCTTCACTTGAGCCACAACTTTAACAGTTTGTTTGTTAAGAAAAAAAATAAAAAAATAAAAAATAGAAGGCTCAAACTTGATTTTTAAGCTTATTTTGTAAATAAACAAATTTGAATATTTACAGTCTATAATTAGTTACTCTATTACAAATATTACTATTAAGGGAACAACTAAATTCTCTCCTATTCATAGGAGTTCTCCTTTCATAGGAGCTTTCTCTGCGCGTCGGAGTTATTGTTGCCTCTCCTTTTCTTAGGTTCTTTTCTCCACTTCTTCTATTAGGTCTCCTCTTCTGCCTTTTGCTTTCTTTGTTTTTGCCTGTCCTTCTGTGTTGATTTATCTCTTTGGGCTGGGATTGTTCTGTTTGACTTCTATTTAAGGTGTGTTTCACTTTTTGGCCTTCAATTCTCAGACGAGTTATTGTGGGTTCAAAATTTCCCTCAATTATGGAAAATAATATGGCCGATCGCTTGAATCACCTTTCAACTCTTAATTCTTAACATGGAATGCAATGCGAGGTGTCCCGTTCTTCCCTTACTCAGGCGCTATGGTACTCTGGTGCACCTTCTTTGTCTATTGCTACGGATTTTGGTGGTCTCTATGGATGTATAAAACCATCGGCAGTCATCGATTCATCGGAGTCGGTGCACACTTTCTAAGGTGTGGGTATAGCGTCTGTCGTAAACTGTTCTTCTGATGTGGGTCGGGTGAATGCCAAATTTGGGACCCGATGGGTTGCTGACCAGATTTCAGAATCTGAATCTTTGGGGCATTCTTTTACAACACAAAAAGGCACTACACAGGGGCTTGTTGTTTCTCCAGATCCACAAAGAGTAAGTTAAGATACTGCACTTATACATCAACCTCCTTTTTCTTTATCTCTGTTTCATGCAGGTTGTTCTCGGCGAAACTTCAGGCCACCACTTGTTATTGATTTTTCAATAGCAGACTCACTGTAAAGGAAAACAAAATGGGGAATTAGGTTTTCAGGATCTTGAAGCTTTTAATCTGGCTCTTTTGGCAAAACATGCTTGGAATTTTCAAGTTCGGAGGACAGGTCTCCCATATCGGGTTCTCAAGGCTGAATATTTCCCTTCATGTTCGTTCTTGGAGGCATCCCTTGGTTTAAATCCTTCTTGGGGTTGGCGTAGTCTTTGGTCCACCCAATGCCTTCTGAATCAAGGTTTGAGGTGGTCAATAGGGAATGGTCAATCTATTCACATTTGGCGTGATCATTGGGTCCCTTCTCTTTCTCACAAATTAACAAACACGTACGGTAACACTTCCTTTTCTCATGTAGCTGAGTTAATTGATAGTCACCATAAAACTTGGAAGTTGGATATTTTAATGTAGTTTTTCCACCAAATGAGGTTGCCGCTATTTCTCGTATCACTTTTAGCCACTGGGATAAAGACGATGTCCAAATTTGGGCCCCGGAATCTAATGGCAAATTTTCAGTGCACTCTACTTAACATTTGGCTATGTACCTTTCTGATTCGTCTACTAATTTGCATGCGATGAATTGTCGGCCTACTTTAAATCCTAATATTGCTGGTTTTCCTTGGAATTTGGTGTGGCGATGCCTGGGTCCTTCTAAAGTGGAACATTTTATATGGCGATGCTGTCATGACGCTATCCTTACAAGACATGCTCTTATGACTAAAGGATGCTTGGAGTCTCTTATTTGTACCAGATGTGGGTCAAAGGAGGAGGATGTCCTTCATTTATTTTTTCGTTGTCCTCACTTTATACATGTATGGAAATTATCTCCCTTCAGGTTTGATTTTTCCTTAGAGTATTTTCAGTCTTTTGTGGATGCCTGGTGTTATATTGTCTCTCATGCTGAATCTTCACCGAATAAATTCTTTATTCTGGGGTTGTCCTCTTTTTATGCTTGGTATCTATGAAAGGCTAAGAATATAAAAGTTTTTAAGGGTGAGGAGTGGGAATCGGATATGGTGGTGAGTATGGCTGTGTGTCATTTTTGGGAATTTAAAGCGGCTCAACTTCAATGCATGAAGGTGGGGCAGGAATTTGTATATACCTCCTTATCGACTTGGCTACCTCCTTTGCCTGGGTTTGTGAAGTGTAATATTGATGCTAGCTTTCAATTGCATACTGCTTTGGGTGGCGGGGGATCAATCTTTCGGGATTTTGTTGGCACCATTCTTCATGCTATGGTGTTAAACAGTTTCCTTGTTCTTTGGCATTGATGGTGAAGGCTATTTCCTTTCGTCGTGCTGTCTTTTGGGCTCGTTCTCTTGGTTATCAATATGTGTGTTTTGAATTTGATACGCAACTGGTTGTGAATGCTTTGGCCAAACGTTCCTCTTGTCCAACTAAAATTAATTCAATTGTGTTTGATATCAATCGGGAGTTGCAGGCATTCTCTACGAGTTTGCTGTCTCATGTCCGGCGATCTGGTAATCGGGTGGTTCATGCCCTTGCTGAACTTTCTCGTGAGATTTTTGTTTCTGATCTCGTGTTAGGGACTTTTCCTCCTTCGATTGCTGTTTTAGCCTTGAGTGATGTTGTAGGTTGTCATGCTTAATTCCTTTGTTGGGTTTGGCTTCTTTGTTTGGTTGTGTTGTTGTTGCTAGGAAGGAAAAAAAAACAAAAATTACAAAAATTACTATTACTAAATGAACCGAGCAATCTTGAACACAAACTTAAATTGGATCAAGATCAAATTTAGATCATCTTACTAAACAAATCAAGCTGAGCAAAGTCCAAATTCAAAATTATAAACAGGATCATTTGCAGGGTACTGCACCATGCATGTGCGCTACAATTAAATTTAATTTTAGTATATTAAATCTATCTAAGACAATTAAAAATAATTTCAATAGACGGTGAATTGCAAAAAACATCCCTCGAGTTTCATCTGTTAGTAAAAAAACTCCCTTTATGAGTTGTTTTAGCAAGAAAACCCCCCTCAACTATTATGAGGGGGTATTTTAACTGTTGTCTGTTTAAGAGGTTATCTTTTGGATGAAAATACCCCTTCAACATTACACTGTCCCGATCTCGCCCTCAGCGGTAGCAGGGTTTGATTCCTCTCTGCTTTGCTTCTTCTATTCACTTTATAAGCATTTGTCTATGATTTGATCAAAGATGTGTTTTTTTTGTTTGTCCAATTTTTGTCACAATTGGGCTTTCTTGGGATTTAAACTGAAATTTCGTAGTAATTGTCACTATAGATGTTCTGTTCCATCAATTCTAAAATAGGTCTGTTAATTTGATTCCGTACATTGTTTGGATTATTGTCATGAATTTTTTTTAATCTATCAAATTTTGTTTTCCAATGTCTTGCTTCTTGGAAATTGTCAGATCCGTGAAAACTGGATTCCATTTTGCTTCGTTAATTCTGATTTAATTTTGTACAAGTATGGTTCAAAATGTATGCTTACTGTGATTTTGTCTTTCACCTTTGTAGTTTTGCAGAATTCTGATAAATGATTATTCAATTGTTTGTATCGATTCAAGAATTAAAGTTTGTGTTTTAATTGGTGGGATGTGTCCTTAATTTGTAGTTCATAATGTCTGTTGAAGTGAAAAATGGGTGTTCGAAGTTTCTTTTCGTTCCATCGGAAGATCTGTCAAGGGATTACATTCTGTTCCGTAGTGTTCCTATCACCAAACTCATGACTTTACTCATGACTTTGCAACGATCCCGACCTTGCGGCGGAAGATGGACTTGTAACCGGTACAAACTCATGACTCGTGTGTTGTCTAGCGCGCCGACGGCACTCTAGCAAGACGACCCACCACAACAATTGGATCTTAGACCATCTGATTTTGCTCGCGTAGTTGTCCAGCGGTGGTTTTAATTGTGCCGACCTCTGTTGCTTGGAACATTGGAGGATGACTAACTCTGTTGACTGATTTTGGATTTTGAATTGAGATTTTGGGTTTGGGTTTTGGTGGCCGCTGTCGGCATCAATGATGTAGGGGAGGAAGAAGACCCAGAACAGAGCTTCAACTTTGGAACCTTTGGACGGCTGAGGATGAGATCGAGATAGTGTAATGTTTAAGGGTATTTTCGTCTAAAAGATAATTCCTTAAATAGACCGCTGTTAAAATACCTCCCTCATAGTAGTTGAGGGGGGTTTCTTACTAAAACAATTTATGAGAGGTGATTTTTTGCTAACATGTGAAACTTGAGGGGAGTTTTTTACAATTCGCCCTTAAATATATTAAATGTACCTATATTTAATGTCTTGAAAATAAATTTATTTGAGATAAAAAACTATACCTAGCACATTACAACAAGAGAATCAGCTCAAAATGGAGAAGATCTACACAAAATCTCACCAAAAAGTCATGCAACACACAAATATTTTATTTTCTATTTTTTCATTTCATCATTAGTAAAAAAAAAATAATTATATTAAAAATTACTAAAATTAGTTAGAGTTACAAACAATCCAAAAGTCCAAAGTGATGAGCCAGTGAGTTAATTTTTCTTATTTAAAAATAATATTCTCTCAATTCCAAAATTATTATTCATCATTTTATTTTGAAATGCCTCAAAATATATGTATAGTTTTAAAAATGAATGTACCTATTTTTTATAATATTTTCAAACTATCATATAAGATTGATTTGATGAAGCAAGTGCACTAATTACATAATATTATTTTATTTTTTATAAAAATAAATTTAAAAATTCAGTCTTATTAAAATAATAAAAAATATTAAAAACTCACTAATATATTAAATTTTGGAACAAGGAGAGTTATAAAATAAAATAAAAATCTAGTTTTAAGTGCAGTTGAAGTTGTTTCCTTCCTCGAGAGGATTTTGATTCGGCACGGAGTGAATCGAGTGATCTTATTATTGATTATGCTACGTCACCATGATGTTGGAAAATACCAGAAAAAATAAAATGTTGGTTTGCGTGTCCATCCCATCCACCCCCTATCTCATTTCGTTCCGGACACTGCTCTATCATTTAATGCTCTAACCCAGACGTCTCTCTCCATAATAAGTAGTAGGTAGTCCCTGAGTTCATGGTCTGTTCAAACAATACTCACCGACTCAGCCTCATACTCACCCAACAACCAAACCCTAATCACCCATGGCCGATTCCAGTCAGCTCAAGTCCGACGCCCTCATGGACCAGATGAAACTCCACCTCGCCACCGATGCTGGCAAACAACTCGCCACCAAGATCGGCCTCGTTTATCAGATCAACATCGCCCCCAAGGTAACAGTAATCTCTCTCTCTATATACACACACAAACACACACTCCATGTTCGATCTGATTTTAGACTCTTTAACCTGATATATCATCATGTTGTGTTTACAGAAACTCGGTTTTAATGAGGTCAGTTATGTTGTCGATCTCAAGAAAGGAGATGTTACCAAAGGTTAGGGTTTTTATTCTCTTCAATCCAAATTACCATAATAATCGTCCAACAAACTTCATTTCCAATTTTATTTGTCCACTGCATTGACATAATTTAGCTACTACAAGCAAAGAAATGTGTTACAATTGTTGTGATTTTTTTTTTTTTTTTAATATTATTTGTGTAATTCTTATATTCATTTTTTTTTGGGGGAATTCAGGGCCATATGAAGGTGGGAAACCTGATGCCACCTTTTCTTTCAAGGATGATGATTTTATTAAGGTTGCCAGTGGCAAGATGAACCCCCAGATTGCTTTCATGAGGTTTTTTTTTTTTTTTTAGTCGTTCATATTATTATTTTATTTTTCAAAATTCTTAATTGTTAATGATTTATGATAAATTTTATTGAGGTTGATGTTTTTGTGATACGTTGATGGATGCAGGGGTGCCATGAAGATTAAGGGCAGTCTCAGTGCGGCTCAGAAATTTACTCCTGACATTTTCCCCAAGCCTTCAAAAATGTGAGAGTAGACAAAAAAAAAAAAAAGAAAAAGAAAGAAAAAAGCAGTGATTTATGTTGGAGGGGGTTTTACTAGAGGATTGTTTCGATTTTCTCTGATATTAGCTTAAAATTGGGGTTAATCTGAAACCATCCTTGAACACTTATGGGATTAGATTGAAAGCTATTAGTCCTAAAGGAATTTCAAATATAAATTTGCAAATTTGCTTTCTGAATTATTTTGAGTTCTCGTCGAGACTGAAATCTTGAGCATTCCTGGATCTGTAATTTTCCATATATACCTTGTTAGTCAGCTTATCGTACAACTTAAGAGTTTAACCAGTTGTGGTGGATTAGTTATTAATCTCAAGCAATGCGCCCCGGTGCATAATTTTTAGTTTCTGTTATTATTTATTAGGAATTTTGTTCAGATTAGAAATAGTTCTAGGAGTTGGTGCCTCGAGAAAACTGTGATTTTAAAAGCGAAGAATGTGTTATAATGTTGAAGAATGTGTTATAATGTTGCAGATTGGGAAAGAGGGAGAAAACTAAGCACTCCTCAATAATTCTAAGATACACGTTAGTCGAATTAGGAACCTAAGGGCGTGTCTGGTTCAGTTTTTTGTTTTCTGAAGACTGAAAATCAGAGAATTGTCAAAAAAAACTGTTTTGTTGACCATTTCTAAAATCTTTTTTATGAATACTTAGTTAAAAAAATGTCTTTAATAGTTCTCTGAAAACAATTTTCTATTTCTCGAGAATTGTTTTCAGAAAACTGAACCAAACAGGCCCTCAATGTCCTTGTTTTTCTTGATCTTTGTGTGTTACTCACTTCCTTTTGCATAGCTAATACTTTTAGAGGAGACACATAAAACTTTGCATCTCTTTTGTATTGGTTCAACTAAGAAATGAAAAGTTGTGTGTTATCATCTTTCAAACGTCAAAATGTTCATATATGTGCAGTTCCTTTTAGGATATCAACAGTGTCATCTGTCAAAAGTGCATGAACACTCATGAAAAATTGTATGTGAAATGTCTGGAGGAACACTGAACTTCTGTCTTTTGTTTTCTCTTTGATGTTTGGCATAAAATTACTTTTGTTTTATACTATTTGATGTTCTGCTCACTAAGCAGGGGCAGTGGGATTTCACAGCACGCTTCATCTTCATTTGAGTTGCTGGAATGCTGCAACTTTTTCATTGTTTTCATTTAGAAGGTGAAACTCGTAGAAACTTGATGGATAGTTATCATCTTCAATTTTTCATTTGTGTTGCAGAAATGCTGCAATTTTTTTATTGTTTCATTTAGAAGGTGAAACTTGTAGAGATTTGATGGATAGTTACCATCTTGTTGAGAATGTGAGGGTTGGGGAATGATTTATTGCTGTTTGTAAAGGACTGATTTGTTGTGCAAATCAGTAGAGATTTGATGGATGGTTACCATCTTATTGAGAATGTGAGGGTTGGGGAATGATTTATTGCTGTGCGTAGAGCCGTAGAGGACTGGTTTGATTTGCAAATCAGTCTGAACTCACTTGGTAATTTCTGTTGCCTCAACTTAAGTGGCATCTACTCCTTTCATGGGAAGTGCAAGGGGAGACGGGTAGGTAGGGTGATCTGGTGATCCGACCGCAACAGCGGGGACGGATACCCGCCCTTATATGCCCAAGACCTTCCCCATCCGAATTTGATGTGGGACAAGACCCCTCTAATAGAAAACCACTAAGGTAAGCCCCTACTATGGCAATAGTGGATGTGCAATTTTATCAAAGAAAAGAGCGGTGATATAATTTTTAGTTTCTTTAGCATTTTTTAAGAATGTGTTCGAGTTAGAAATGGTTGTAGGAGTTGATGCCTCAAGAGAAAGTGCGATCTTAGAAGCAAGAATGTGTTTAAAAGTTGCAGATTGGGAAAAGAGGGAGAAAAGTAAGCACTCCTCGAGAATTCTAAGATACGTTAGGCGAATAAAAAAACTAAATGTCCTTGCTTGTCTTGATCTTTGTGTGTTTTCCCTTTTGTGGAGCAAATGCTTTTAGAGGAGAGCTTTGCATCTCTCTTGCAATGGCTCCCCTAAGGAATGAAATGTTGTCTGTTATCATCTTCGAAGAGGAATATTTGATTTGCTGCCTGTCAAAATGTTCATATTTGTGCAATTCTTTTTTAAGATAGCAACACTCTGCGTGAACGCTGCCATGGAAAATTGTATCTGAAATGGCTGGAGGAACACTGAACCTTCTGTGCTTTGTTCTTTCTTTGGTGCTTGGCATAAAAAATAATTTTGTTTCATACTATTCGATTGTGCGCACTAGGAAGGACACTGGGATTTCACAGTATGATTCATTGCTTCATCCGCATTATAGTAACAGAAATGCTGCGACTTTGTTGTTGTTTTCATCTAGGTGGTGAAACTAGTAGAGAGTTGATGGATGGTTATCTTGTTGAGAATATGAAGGTTGGGGATAGGGTTTCTTTGTGCGTGTATAGTAGACTGATTTGATTTGCAAATTAGTAAGAAATCAGTTGACAAATTATGTTGCCTCGACTTAAGTGGTACCTACTCCTTTCATTTCAATTTATTTAGGGCCCCTGTTGTGTCAACAGTATGTGCGACTATCAAAGAAGAGAGTGCTGATCTAAGGTACACAATTCTTTTAAATGAGCGCTACTTTAACACACTCTGTGCGACTTGGATTTTGTCACTTTTGTGCAACTTAGGTGGTGATAGATTCCAATACCAGCTCTTCCAGCCTCTTGTAAGTCTGTTGTTGGATCCACGTGGTGCTTGCAAGTACCCGTTCAAGTTCAGATTCTCCATCGCCCCACCAAGAAAAATGAAACAGAACTCTGAGGAGCTTGAGGTGCTTTTATGTTCCACTTCACAGTTCTTGATTTCACTTGTTGATGTAAAAAAATATCCTAATGATGATGGTGAAGAAACAGAATACCACAATTCTAGCCAACTGTCATGACTGGTGTCTTGATGAATGTTATTTACTTGGAAAAATGCTTATTTTGTGTGGGATTTGGATCCTCCCTATTAATTTTTCTATCCATGCATGCCATTAGGTAATCATAACATAGTGGATGGTTATTCGAGTGAAGACTTGACATGTCCATAATACGGGAATGTCAGCGAAAGAAAAAGAGACAAGTAGCATGATGTGTACTTCAGCCTGAAGAATGCAACCAAAGGATTTTGTAACCCTTAGAAATGAGTGTGATTAATAGGGAGAGGTTAACACCTTGAACAACGTTTTAACTTTTCTTCCAAAAGTGAAAGCATTCCTATGTGTTGTTCTAATTGGAAAAGATTTGGGTTCTGGCATCTCATGAAATATCTGCTCTTAGGATTGATTCTTATTAGGTGTAAATAATTTTTTAAGGCCCCGCCGATATAATCCAAGCTTAAACACCCTGGTTATTTTTAAAAAAAATATAGAAGAATTTTCGGAGATTACTCATCCCGACGGACTTGGATCCTATAAGTTAAATAATTTCTAAATTATCTTAAGTTGAATTCGCTACAGATTGACACAAGAAAAATTTACCAAAGAAAAAGTGCACTATTTTGAATTAAGGAAAATTTACCATATTCTATCAATTCACCATATTCTAACAACGTTTAACGTCAAAAATCTTCCATCTCTCTCCTTTTTATTCCTATCTTTAACAAGTCGCGATGGTCTTTGTTTCTCTTTTAACTTGATCGACGTCCTTTCTCATCTTTTTCATATACAGGATTTTTGATTTTTTGGTTGTATTTTTCTAACTCCATCAATATCCATTCTTATATATATATATATATATATATATATATATATATATATATATATATATATATTCTTTTCCAACCATTATTATTACTAGTATAAGTTGTATGTCGTGCAATCACATTTTCGTCCATCTTAATTCCATTGCAAAGAACATTTGTTTTGGCGTGAAATATTCCCCCAATAGTGGGAATGAGGAAGAGGAGATAGAGGAAGAATCTTTTTTGGAAAAGATGAGGGATAGATAACCAGGTGAATTTCTTTAATTCAAAAGGGTGCAGTTTTTAAACTTTGGTAATTATTTCTTTATCTCAAAACGGTACAGTTTTCAAACCTTTTAAAAATTAGTTAATGTTGATTAAACACCAATAGTAGATATATTTTAAATGTCACTTGTGAATCTGTAGTGAATTTAACTTAAGATAATTTAGATAATATTTAACTTAGAGGATTCAAATTCTCCTTAGAAATGAGGAGATAATCAAATTCAACTCCTTTTTAAAAAAGGTTTGGTAGTTCTTTTTTGTTATTTTAGTTGAATTTGGGTTACAAAATTTCATCTTGGGATAGAGAAATTTCATGCAACCTAAACACATACAAAACCTGATCTATATTATTATGGTAGTAAAAAAAAATTATTATTATGGTCGTACTAGCTTGGGGTCCAAAATCCAAATCAGACCTAATTTTAACTCTGAATCTAACCCAATCAGGTCAACCTTACAGGCTTAAAATGAGCCAACATTGAGTTATGAAACTAAAAGCACTGGTAGGACTTGTTGACTTGTGCTCTGTTTGAGTTGAAAGTTTTGTGTCAAGTTATTTAATTAAAGAGAAGTGATCCGGCTTTAATTGCCGACTCCTTCTCCAAATATAACATGGTTAGAAATGAGTAGAAGAAAAAGAGATGTTTACGAGAATTTTTTTAAGAGTTTCAATGGGATCCAACCGCATTATATTTGTAAGAAGAGTCGATAATTAATATCGGAAAACCTATCATTTTTCTTAATTAAAACCCACCCTAACTTGTTTATCTGTGTGAAAGTATTTAGAAGTTTCTTCCATAGTTTTCTAATTTATTATTAATTTAGCATTTGCACTGCTTAATTGGAGTGACAATAAATTTCCTTTTCTTTAAAAGACAAAATTATTTATCTTTTGCAACTTTTTCTTTTTCTTTTTCGAAGGTCTGTAACTTCTTATACTACTTACCGATTGTTATAGTTAAAGTGGTATTTCTTTTCAAACATGTATCAGCCGCTTACCCCATGTCAAACCTCATAGACTCAACTTCCAAGCCATAATTGGAACCGGCCAATGAAAACACATGCTCAACAATTCTCCTTGTCTTCAAATTTCGTAACATAGTTCTTGACAAGTATAAGCAAATCGTGTTGTTCTCATGATTTAAAATTAAAAGGGATAGCCTAACGACAAAGACTCTCACCTCATATTTTAAAAGTGGAGAATTTAAATCATTTTAGAAATTCTCACCTCACATCTTAAAAGTTGAGAGTTTGAATCACTTTAAGAACTCTTCGAGATAATTTTCGCAATAATTACTCGATGCATATGGGACAGGAGGATTGCATGCGCCCAATAGTAGATTATGGGTACTCTACAAAAATAAAAAAAATAGTGGGAGGCCCAGTGTAAATTTTTTCCAAACCAAGTCACTCTCTGTAGTTTCACTAAACGTTAGGGGAGATCAGTGATTTTACCCATACATGCACTGTATCCGGGTTTCATGATCCGAAAACGAAATGGGTAAAGGCCAACCCATTACTAGACATCTCCTCTCTCATAGTTCAGAGACAAATCTTCCAAAAACAAACCCTAAAACTTGAGACTTTACAACGTTCAAATTTCAAAATTTGAAATTCGCGCTATTTCTAAAATTTGAAACCTAACGACGCTCCTCAAATTGTGTACTAGTTCATACCACCAAACCCACTCCTCTCGTTCATCTCCGCCATTTCCGATCTCTCCTCGTTTGAAAATCTACAAAGAATGGGGGCGAATCACAGTCACGAGGACTTGGGGATCTCAGAGTCCGAAGAAGAAAGCGAAGAAGAAGTAGAAGAAGAAGAAAGCTATGAGGACTCCAAAGATGTGGAAGACGATGAAGGGCAACAGAGATCTTCAGGTCGCAGAGGATCCAAGACGCCGTCGTCTCTCGACGATCTCGAGGCTAAGCTCAAGGCTCTCAAGCTCAAATACCCTTCTCAAAACCCAAATCTCAAGAACGCCGTCAAGCTATATCTTCACGTTGGGGGCAACACCCCCAAGTCCAAATGGGTTGTCTCCGACAAAATCACCACCTATTCCTTCGTGAAAACATCTAAGATTGACGCTTCCGACGGCGGTGACGAAGACGAAGAAGAGGGAGAATCTTGGTGGGTCTTGAAGGTTGGGTCCAAAGTTCACGCCAGGGTCGATACTGGGTTGCAATTGAAAACCCTAGGCGACCAACGTCGCGTTGATTTCGTATCACAGGGCGTTTGGGCCATGAAATTCTTTGACGAGGAAGATTACAAGGGTTTCATTGCAAAATTTCAAGATTGTTTGTTTGAGAACACGTATGGGATGGAATCGAAAGAGGAGAATAAGGTTAAGGTTTATGGTAAAGATTTTATGGGGTGGGCGAAGCCAGAAGCGGCGGATGACTCGCTGTGGGAGGATGCGGCGGATGACTTCTTGCGGAGCCCTGGTTCGGCGACTCCGGTGAGAGCAACTCAGGATTTGAGGGAGGAGTTTGAAGAAGCGGCAGCTAATGGCGGGGCAATACAGAGCTTGGCATTGGGTGCATTGGACAACAGTTTCTTGGTGAGTGATTCAGGTATTCAGGTTGTTAAGAATTTCAGTCATGGAATTCATGGTAAAGGTGCATATGTGAATATTGATAGTGCAAGGTCTGGTTTGGTTCATTCCACACCAAAAAAGGCTCTTCTTATGAAGGCTGAAACTAATATGCTCCTCATGAGTCCTATGGCTGATGGGAAGCCCCATACAAGGGGGCTCCATCAGCTTGACATTGAAACTGGGAAGATTGTTACAGAATGGAAGTTTGAAAAGGATGGGACTGATATAACAATGAGGGACATTGCAAATGATAGTAAGGGGGCCCAAATGGATCCTTCTGGTTCAACATTCTTGGGATTGGATGACAATAGGCTGTGTCGATGGGACATGCGTGATAGGAATGGGATGGTCCAGAATCTTGCTACTGCCAGTGCCCCTGTACTGAATTGGACTCAAGGTCATCAGTTCTCTAGGGGGACAAACTTTCAGTGCTTTGCAACCACTGGTGATGGTTCAATTGTGGTTGGATCTCTTGATGGGAAGATTCGGTTGTACTCGATTAATTCTATGAGACAGGCGAAAACTGCTTTTCCTGGTCTTGGTTCTCCTATCACTCACGTGGATGTTACCTTTGATGGGAAGTGGATACTTGGCACAACTGATACCTACTTGATCCTTATATGCACCCTGTTTACTGACAAGGTTGGCAAGACAAAGACTGGTTTTTCTGGTCGTATGGGGAATAGAATCTCAGCTCCAAGATTGTTGAAGTTGAATCCTTTGGACTCACATATGGCTGGAGTAAACAATAAGTTCCGTGGCGCCCAATTCTCGTGGGTATGTATATCATTGTGCATTTTTGTTCTTTGCTGCTTGTTTCTTTGTGTTCATTTATCTGCTAACTTCCACCTTGACTTGGGGCATTTATTCATTTTTGTTCTTGTTATTTGAATCATGACTTCAGTTTTTCTATACTGACTGGAACTTTTACTTGGTCACTTGGTGACATTGTGTTGTTTATGGTTGAGCTTGTTTTGTTTTTTCAATGCTATAGAACATGTATGTGCACTTTCCACGATTTGAGATGCTCTTGGTTTCGACTTTCTAAGCATATGGTAATTGCTAAATACTAAGTGTATATTTGACATTTGAATTATGTGATAGTAACATTCTGGATTCATTGTAGATGGTTCATTAAAGATGTTGAAATTTATTCTGATGCATAACGTATTTTAGATTCAAGATTTGCGTAAAAGAAAGTTTGTTTTAGGTAGTGCTAATTCTTTGAAGGGCCTTCTGTGTGTTGTCATTTTGTGTAGCTGTTTGGACCAATTTTCATATATTGAATCTCAATATGCCAGCCATTGGAAATCAAGGAGATTTCAACTGCGCTTTGATTTGTTGGTCCCCTTAAATGGACCTTTTATTTGTACCCTTGCTTTTGGGTATTTGATGAGTAGACCCCACATTTATCAGTATAGGCTTGCTAAAAAGGTGCTACTTTCTAATCGGCTTGAGATTTTTCTTTAGTGATATTTTTCTCCTTGCAATGATGCGCTTGGCCTCGAATCAATCTGTTTTCAGTTGTAAATGTATTGACTAATAGCGTCTGCAGTCAACTAGTTTGCTTGATCAACTTTTTAAGATAAGTGTTTGGACGAGGTTCACGTTTGCACAATGGGCCCACAAAGTGTACGGCCTGGTGGAGATCTGAGCTGTTAGGGACCTCCAAGAGAAGTAAAGAAGGGGGTGAGGTGTTATTCTATGTGATCTCTCATAGAGGCTAAAAAGCTCCTGAATGGGTTAATTCTTTTGTTCGTAAAGTCCCTAGTCTTTGGGTTGTTGAATTGTTTTAATGGAGCATCAACTGCTCCTTGTATACTACCATGGTAGTGGGCAAAGACATTTGGCAACCGTTAAGACCTCTAGCTAAAAGATGAAGTGAAAGAGACTGAGTGGGTCTATGGGAGGGATATAGGGGGATTAGGTAGGACAGTCTCGTGGCTCAATTGACATTGACAAGAGGCTGCATTTTTCTATGATTGACCCTCATTAAATGAGGGTCCTCCATTCGGACCATTCTAATGGAGGGGTTGGGTTATTGTTCCTCTTTGAGAGATCACTCTTCTTCTTTTCCCATGACAGGCTGGAGGGCAATGTTGATGCCTCCAATGAATCCTCAAACCTCAGCCACCAAGCCAAAACCCCAAGGTCCCGCGAGAGAGATGGATATGTCTCTGAGGTCTTCCTCTCTAGACCTAAGAGCACGGTTCACTATTTCAACTCTGAGGTTTATCTGTCGAGAGGAACTCCTCGGAGGTCCTGTTTCAATCCTCAAGGTTTATTTGTTGGAAGGAACTCCTCGGAGGTCTTTTGACTGATCCCCAAGGCTTATTTATCAGGAGGAACTCCTTAGGACTTCGAGGTTTATTCGTGGGAGGAACTCCTCGGAAAATTCATTGATCCCTGATGTTTATCCGTTGGGAGGAACGCCTCAAGGTTTTGAGGTTTGTCTGTCGGGATGATTTTCTCAGAAAGATAAGGATTTAGTCATTGCCTCTCTGAAGATGTAAGGGGATCCCCTTTAGAGCTTTAACTGCTTTTCCTCTACTCTAGTTCTATGTTATTTCCTTTCCTGAGTTCAATCTAAAAGAACATTATCAAGTATAGTTGCTCAAGAATACCATGTCAACATGTATAGATATATACATTTCTATGTATTTGTGAATATCTGAGCCCGCCAGGTGGCGGGGTCAAGCCATGACTTGGAGGTCGTAATTCAAGTACCTACAATAAGAAAATTTTTTTATTATTTTTTTCTCTGTGAAATCATTTATAGTCAACATTTAACAAAGTGTGCCTAAGTGCCTTCATACAATGGTTAAGCAATCAAGCTATGGAGCTGCTAGTGCTTGGCAACCAAAAGGCACTTGCTGAAATGTGTTTACCGTGTTTAATGACATTTGACTTTCCTAAGTCTGTCTGAAATTTTTATGATTAATTCAAAATTTTGATGTGTTCGTATAATCTTTTTTTTCTTTCTAATTTTTGGAATTTATAAATTCTCTTTCATTGAGAAACGATTTGAAAGTCTTGTCATTTTTTCTGCATCCAGGGAAAGTATATATTAGTTTACTATTCTGATTCATGTTTCTTCGTTGTCTTTTGTCATCTTATTGGAGATTATACTAAAAGATAAGGCAGAAAAGTAAAATAAAACAGCTGTAGCCAATAACTTTAAAACAGATCTTACCTTGTATATATCAGTTCCCTTGTTGTATATCATTTGCAAATGTGGTACCTTGTTTGCATTTCTTATTTTATCTAAGGTGGTTTTTTTGGCAATTCTTATTATTATTATTTTAGGTATTATTGTTGTTATTAACAGTCTCATCAATTTTCACTGTTATCATTTGTGAAATTTCATTACAATGCACCATAAAAAGAGTGGCACCTATGTACAAAGTATGTATACACAAGGAAACTGTTTTGCTTTTGTATCTCCCCAAAGAACTACAAAATCTTTTTGATCATAAAATGGAGGGAGCTCAACAAAAATTATTCCCTTCTTAAAAAGTGGATTCGATTCCTTCAAAAGATGGCCTCTCCCCATATGCTGCGCAATAAACGTAAAGGAGCCGCTTGCGAAACTGACCCGACTTCTATTTGAATCTTCAACTTTTCAAACAATGCAGAATATTTCTAGCTGCACTAAGTGTCACCAAATGTACTTGCAGTACATTCATTAAACCATTTTTTTTTTTAAATTTATTTCTAAGATTTTCCCTTGTTTAAAGAAAACAAGTGGTGCTAGAGTTATCATTATTAGTTTTTTCTTTTTTCCCCTTTGTGCTTTCTCCTTTCTCTGTGTGCAAATGCAGTTGCTTATTTGCTGTGAATTGGATAGACACTACAAATCTTTCTTTTAGGTTTTTTGTTGGTTTTTCATTATTATTGGATTGATTCCAACAATGCTATAAAATTGCTTAGGTCACGGAGAATGGGAAGCAGGAGCGTCATCTGGTTGCAACAGTTGGCAAGTTTAGTGTGATATGGAACTTCCAACAGGTGAAAGATGGTTCTCACGAGTGCTACCGTGATCAGGTGGGCCTGAAGAGCTGCTACTGTTACAAGGTAGTTTTAAGAGATCAATCCATAGTTGATAGTCGGTTCATGCATGAGAAATTTGCAGTCAGTGATTCACCGGAAGCTCCTCTGGTGGTTGCAACCCAAATGAAAGTCAGCTCCTTCAGCATATCTAGTAGGCGATGACACACTTCATGGATAAGAAATCTGCAGTCTTTGATTTACCAGAAGCTCCTCTGGTGGTTGAAACCCAAATGAAAGTTAGCTCCTTCAGCATATCTAGTAGGCGATGACACACTTGAACAAAACCCTTTGTTTTCTTGTGCGCCTTAGATTTATCAATAAATTTGTTTCATTTTCTAGTGTGTTAGCGGATTGTTGTTTGATTAGGGTTTATCTGGAAGCAATTTCAGAGAAGATTGACTTCTAACTGTACTTTTTTTTTCGTTATTATGTTCTGAGACTGCATTGCAAATGTTTCTCTGAGCTCCAGCAGATTTATTGTTGTTGTATTACTTGAAACTAAGGGTCAGATATTGTTGTTGGAGGGGACAAGTTAAAGCTGCATTTTGCATGAAAAATAGTTCTACTGTATTGTTGTGACATGTTGATCCTTGGAATTCATTCTGTTCTGGGATAATTTTTTATTGCACAGGTAATTCCAATTGCCGCACTTGTGGAATGGGGTGCTGAATTTATTTACTTATATTAGCACAGTTTATATGCATCTGTCATCTTCTGATCAAGCATAAAAGCCCAGAATTACTCCAAGCAATACTTTTTTGTCTCTCCCCATAATTGAACCCCTTAGCCTTTGCCGTGGTGCTCCTTACTCAGTTCATGCGAACTGCTTCTTGCAGTTGTTTGAACCCTGGAACTCTTCACAAGGAGACAGCTAATAACACTCACGGTCAGAAGGCTAGAGATTCATTAGTATCATTTGAGTCATCCCTTATTTTGTTAATTGATCTGGGTTGTGTGTTTTTGTGGTTGCAACTGAAATGAAGATATTCTTGGTTACTGAACTTACTGTATGTCCATGATAGTTCCGTTTTTCATCGGATGCTTCATGCAGTCTGAAGATTCTGAAATCACAACGATTGATGTCTATGGTACAGTAGTGGATGTATCAAATTATCTCAAAGCCTGGCTCGCCATCTTCCCTCAGCTGACATGAAAGCTTGTTAGAATTTAAACAGAAAAGGCCTTTTTTACTATGAAGTTCCTTTGCAGCATGTGGTGTATGAGCCAATTTAGAGCTATTCCATTTGAAGGTGCATTTGAGAGTAAATTAGTTGAATCCATGTGCTTTGAGGATATGTAAATATGTAAAATCCAACAGCTCAAAGAATAAGGATAAGTGGGCCCATGCTATCATGTTTGTTGTCACGCAGTTAACTGGATGTGTGAATTTTGTGGTGTATATCCCTCCACTGGGGAGGTTTTTGACAGAGGAAAGATGGCTGTTGCCTCTGCCTTGGGAAGAAGCTTCCCAATTCTGCCATGCTGCTCTTCTTTATCCTCCCTAGAGAAACACGTCTGTAAATCCTCATTTGGGGCAGCAAACACATATTCACCTGCTGGTATAGGACACACCAGGCGTGGCTCGGGAATTGTGGTTCAAGCCCAGGAACGCCCCACGTGGCTTCCTGGCCTCGATCCTCCCTCCTATCTGGATGGAAGGTGAGCCCCCTCAGTCTCACCTAATTGGTGACAATTCAATGCCATTTATGCTTCTGCTTAAGTTATTTGTTCCATTTTTTTCTGTTTGTTTTTGTAGTCTTGCTGGAGATTTTGGGTTCGACCCACTTGGGCTTGGCGAGGACCCTGCAAGCTTGAAGTGGTATGTGCAGGCTGAGTTGGTTCATGCTCGCTTTGCTATGGCTGGAGTTGCAGGAATTCTCGCCACGGATGTGAGTGACTGAAATATTTGCTTCATTATTATCCAGTTTTAGTTTTTCTTCTTTTGTCCTGATTTTTCAGTTCTAGTTTGAAAAAGGAAAAAACAATGTAACAAAATACAAAGAGAAGATTGCAAGTCAGTCCAGCGTGTGGTGGTTTGTATTTTCGTCATAACAATCAATGGCTTTTTTCTGAATATTTGGAGCCAATCAAGTGAAATTTCTTTAGCATTTAAAACTGTTTGCAAATTGCAATGAGAGAACTTATAAGATTTATACTAAGCAACCTCATCTCTAGTATTGTAGGGAGAGTGATTTTGTGTCCCCTATAATTTGATTTCATTACAAAACTAAAATCTGAAACAATTTTTGATTTCAATGGCTGCTATCACCTGATTGACCACTTCAAGGCCATGCAGGATTTAGAGTGAGACATTGTTGCAAGAACTTATAAAACATTTATATGATTTCCACTGTTTAAATTTATTTATTTATCTTCCTGCAACACGAATAACTGCTGGTACTAGATCATTTTCCTCTGAGTTTCTGAGAAACCACCCTTTCTTTATCTCTTCTTCCACATTCCTTCGACCCCTCTCTTTTTCCTTCTCATTGCATTACATTATCAGCAATTCTTTCAGTTTCTTGTTGCAGCTGCTCCGTGTAACGGGAATCAGCAATTTGCCGGTGTGGTATGAAGCAGGTGCCATGAAATTCTCGTTTGCCAGCACGAGAACTCTGTTCATTGTCCAACTGATCTTGATGGGGTAGAAAACAGTTGTTCGTTGACATGCCAAACCTTTTTTGCTTCAACTAATCACTTTCCGTAAATTATTGATTTTTTTTCTTCATCTCCTTTGATTGCGCAGATTCGTTGAAACCAAGAGGTATATGGATTTTGCTAATCCTGGATCTCAAGCCAAAGATGGATCATTCTTTGGGTTGGAAGCTGCACTAGAAGGTCTAGAACCAGGGTAATTTTCCAACATTTCACAAGGTTGTTTGAATCATTCTTCAGATTTTTGCATTCTTTTTGTTTTGCATTGAACAGATACCCTGGTGGTCCTTTGTTAAATCCACTTGGACTAGCTAAAGATATAAAGAATGCTAAAGTGTGGAAGCTGAAAGAGATCAAGAATGGTTTGTTCTACTCCATCAATTCTGCTTTCTTGGATATTTTCCTTCTTTGTTTTCGACCATTTCTGACTACAAACTCGATCTCCCTGAAAATGCAGGAAGGCTGGCCATGGTGGCCATGCTCGGCTTCTTTGTCCAAGCTTCCGTGACTCATGTTGGTCCTGTCGAAAATCTTCTGGATCACCTCTCGGATCCATGGCATAGAACTGTTATCCAAATCCTTGCCAGTTCTAGTTCTTGACTCTGATTTGTAGTGGGGCTTGGTTATCATTCATGACAAGTTGAAATGTGCATCATATTCTACAATTTTTTTCTTATTTTTTCAAGCCTAGTCTTGTGCTTTGTTAGAATCATTCGACGGACTGTTGCGTGAATGTTTTGCTTGCCTCACAAATGAATTAAATTGATCAAACTGAAAATAAACATTATAAGAGAGAATTTGATTTCATATGCAATGTGCACAAATTGATATATATATATATATATTTGAATGTGGGATGGCCTCTATATTTGAGTGAGGCCATCAAAGATTAATGTATGCAAACTTATTAAACAAGTGCTTGATATCAATAACTGTTCTTCTACAGAGATCACAAAAGGTTAAATTTCTTCTTCATCCATAAACACGCATTGCCATTTCAAAATAAGAAAATTATGATTTCAAATTTTCAACAAACCGGTATGTCCACACACGAAGTCAACTTTCAGAGCTCGAATTCTTAGATCAAACCTGTATGCCCCCGGCCCAAAAATTACAAAATCACATTATTATCACTTTCCTCAATCAAGTACCATTTACAAGACTTATAACCTAAATCTAAACCAAAAATATTATACAATCTTCTTATATTATATAAAAATATGCAACTTATTTACAAACAAGAAATTCTGTAAAAATGTGCTCTTCCCTTTCTGGTCACTGCAAGGAACTGCCCTGGAACGGAGAGGCATAAAACAACCAATCTATAAACAAAACTTACTTTAATGACTTGGGTGCCTGCACCTTCTTTTTTCTGGTCAAGAACATGAAAATTCGCGGAAAGAAGGATTTCTTCTTTTTCTTAATAATCCTAACTTCTGTTGAAGATTCAGTCTCAGTATTGCTTCCATGCAAATCCACCTTTGGGCTCGACCTAGTACGAACAGGTAGCAGGCCATCTGGCGGCCGCTCAAAGTTCCCTGATTCTTTCTTCTCCTCGAAGACTGTCTTTGGGTTCTTATTTTGGTTTACCACTCCTTGAGCAGATTCACCAGCTTTTCGTCGTTGCTCGAGTTCAGCCCTCCATTTTCTCAACTCCTGTTCTACACCCAACTTCCCTTCCTTAGCCTTCTCAGCCTTCTGATTAGCAATTTCTAGTTCCTCCTTTCTCTCAGCCATCTCCCTATGAACTTCCTCTAACTTATTCAAGCTTCTCAACTCAGATGCCCTGGCGATCTCAATTTGAGAGATGGCAGCAGCCACCCTCATGTTAGCCTGCTCCTCCGCCTCATGGGTCCGCTTGCTGAGCATATAGTACTCCTCTAAAGAGATTGTTACTTTGGTTGGTGAATCCTCTTCATTGGTGCTTTGAGCAGACTCACTCTCTTGTAGTGCGTTGATAGCTGCTAGCGCCAACTTCTCTGCTGCCTTCGCAGCCTCTATTTCCTTTTGAGCCGCAAGTAGTCTGCTCTGAGTAGTACTTGCTCCAGCCTTGGCTTGCTCTGCTTCTTCCTTTGCCTTCCGCAGCTCCTCACGAGCCATTTGAGCAAGTGACTTGGCCTGGTCTGCCTCTACAGCTGCCTCCTGCAACTGCTTGGGAAGCTGCAGCATCTTCTCTCTTGATTCTTTCTCCTTCATCTGAACAACAGCAATCTCCGATTTAATCCTGTTCAGCTCAGCTTCTATTGATGCAACCGTGACTGATGCCATTCCTTCTCTCTGCCTAATGGTGGCCAGTGCCGATTTTTCTCTTTCCAATTCCGACTTTAATGATGTTGTGGCCACCTTCAAGCAACTCACTTCAGCAGTTGCTTTCTCAATGTTGAGCTGCACTTCTTCAATTTCCTTCTTGGCTGAAGCAATCGCTGCTTGTATATCAGTATGAGTTCTCTTTTCTGGTACATCTAGCTCATCTTTCTGTCCTTCATCCGTTTCCTGCTTCAATTTTGATTCCATGTATGCTGTTAGTTCAGCTTTTAAGTCGAGTAATAAGGCTGAAGCAGTATCTAACTTTGATTTCATATCCTTTGCTGACAAAATTTGCTGGTTTAGTCTCTCTAGCTCCTCATCTGCTTGCTTCAATTCCTTTTCCCAATAAAGAGTATCTTGCTCTCTTGCCATAGCTGCTCCAATTCTATGTTCCTCTGCCTCCATATGAGCAGCTTGAGTGGACTCCAAGGATTCCTTTGCGGCCATCAGCTCAAAAGTCAGTTCCTCCACTGTCTTCTCAACTTCTCTGGATGCAGAAACAGCCGCCTCAGCTTTCTTGACAGCTGCGGCTTTCTCTGTCACCAATAAAGCATAATTTTTATGTAGTTCTTCCAGCTCGTCTTTCACGGATTTCAGCTCTGCGACTGCAGCTGCATGCCTGGTTCTGGCAACCTCAAGCTGTGCCTTGGCTGCAATGCTAGCCTCATCAGCAATCCCTTGCTCCATTTCTTCCACCCTGAGCTTGACAAGTTCAGAATCCTGTTTTGCTTGATGCTCTTCTGTTTGTGCTCTTTCTAGGTTAAGTTTTAATTCCTCTATGAGTCTCTTAGTGCTGTCCAGCTCTTTTAACACTTCAGCTTTTGCATCTTCAGCAACCTCGTACTGTTTCTTATACATTGGAATCTCCACTAGTGCTTTCTCAAGTTCCTGCTCTATGAGCTTGCGTCTCTGCATGGGCCAAAGGAGCACAATAAGAGAGATTTTGGAAGAACTGGATGCAACCATCATTTTGGTTCAAATTCATGCTTTGAGTGTCTTGGAAAGAAATGTATAAAGTTTGCGTTAATTGCATAAGGCGGTTAATGTAATGGTGAGTGAATATTGTTCAGTGAGAATGTGTGGTCTTTGTTTGACAGTAAAAGAAGTTATAGGTGATGGTGTCAGTGCACTGAATGAAGAAAAGGAAAAGAGAACAAATGAGAAGGTGTGCTTTGCTTGCATTGAGTGAGTGCAGAGACTTTACAATGTGGCGCCGAAGATGAAGCCAATTAAAATTTGTGACAGCCTTGTGACAGCTTGTAAGTCAGGCATAATTGGTTATACATATGGAGTGTCAAGCATGAACAGAAGTGTGGAGTAAAAAAGAGAGTGAAGTAAGTGAGGGTCAAGAGTTATACTATTCCTTTTAGAAGAGTGGGTGTCTTCTTTTGTGCGAGTGTGGAATACTTCTAGGTAGTCCTTCGAGATTCGTAATCCTTGTATTTTTTAGTAAGAAAAGTTAGTCATTCTTCGCCCATGGACGTAGGCAATTTGCCGAACCACGTTTGTTTTTGTTTTGTGTGTTATTTCCATCTTATATTTCCTTTGTTGCCATTGCATATTTGTTGTGTGAGATCTTGGGAGGATTAATTCCTAACAGTTCTATTAAATGCAATCTTTGGGCACATGTCAACAAAAAGTGGATAACTTTATGCATTCAGTATTCCAAGAAATCCTTGCGTCTTTAATTTGCAATAAAAGAGAAAAATAAAATAAAATAAGAAAGAAAAATGAAAAGTTTAAACCTGGAAGGAATATATAATTGAAAAGAAAACTCAAGAAAAAAAAAAAAAAAAAAGAATTCCTTTTTTTTCCCTTCTCAAAAATATGCTGTAAAAAATGTGATTTAATATAAATTGAAACATGTAAAGTGGCTAATAATTCCTTGTTACAAGCCATCCCAGCAAAATGAAAAACAGAGGTTGAATAGTAATCAAGTGTCCATGCAACCTAGAGAAATTTATTTAAAGCATCAGTTCAAGTAATGGAAAGAATGAACTCAAGAAAAGACCATACCTCCACAGTCTGGACTTTGTGGGCCTTCCAATCAAGAATTCCCCCAAACTTTGAAACAGCATCTTTAACAGATTCAAAAGGTGCTGCGGTATCAATTGCCCCATTGTTTATATCATCCTTTTTAAGATCTTTATAATGGTCAATGGGCTCTGTAGTTCTAATAGCAACCGAGGACACCTTAGCAAGGGGCTGAGCAACCTCACTGGAAGGCACCAAATGATGGCCGTTTGAGTCTCTCACTTGGGTGCTGACAAAGGAGGCACTTTCTTGATATTGCTGCAAAGCATCATCTGATTTTGCTTCTGAGGTATATGATGCAACGGGTTCTGAGAGGCCTATTACATTCTCCTTTTGATGAGGCTCCAGTGTCTCTTGATTCTTAGTCGATGGAAGTGAGCCTTCCTGCTCAGTTACAGGTCCATCAGAAGGAACCGTTGGCTGAACATGGGAATGGCTCAAGGAACAATTACTATTTTCCACGTTTTGAGACTCCAATGCTCCTACGTTATTGGCTGATAGTGGTGAGGCCTCTTGCACAAGTACAGGTTCATTGGGAGTATGCTGCATAGCTCTAATTTCAGAATCGTCAACCACGGTGCCCTTATGGTTAGGTCCTGTTTCATCAACCTTAACAGGAGTGGTTAAAATGGGATTTTCGTTTGGAAGAAGTTGGCCATCTCCCATGATTGGCGCATCAGAAGCATCCTGTACAGATGCTGATTTAGAATCATCTGATCCCTGATGGATAGATTCCACTTTTCCATTAGAACCTTGGTATTCTGAAGCTTCATTATTTAAATAATTATTTTGGGAGGATAAAATTGATGCTGCAGAAGTTTCTGGAGGAAAATTTTCTTCAGCATTTTTCACATCATCCATTCCAATAAAATGATAAGAACAGCCAAGCAAGTATCTGAAATCCAAGCAAAAGAATAGAAGAACTAAATTAGTGAAAGATGAAGGAAAGCTTGTATTATCCAAAACAAAAAAAAAAAAAAGCATCATTGCTTAATATATGAAACAAGGGTAAGTTGTTAATTAATGTCCATTTTTTTGATATAAGAGGAAATATTCAAACTCAACTGCAGAAGAACTCAAATGGTAATAATTCAAAACCAACATTATCAACTCAATATAGGTAAAAGATAAGGCTTGCAGAAAATTTTCATCACTATTAAATATAACTATTTTGCATCAAGCATGCATCACCAATCAGTACAGTCCTTTCTTTTTTTTAGCATTATAGGGTCGTTGAAAGAGGTCAAAAAATTGGAAAAGAAGAAAGGTATGGTGTGGCCGAATCGGGATTTAGTGTGAGGGATTCTGCACAGGATACAGGTCTTGCAATAGTTTAACTAGAAAGGATTGGTAGACAAAGGTAGAAAAGTCATCCAAAAGTGAGGTTGAGTGATTTTGTATAAGTTTGCTGGATTTTAAATGCCAGGTACCAAGATCTTTAAAGTTGTCAAATAATTTTTTTTTTTTTTGGCTAGCCCAATGCATGAGGCACCCGCCATTGTGGGGGTTTGAGGAGGGTCGGATATAGGCAGCCTTACCTCAGCATGCGAAGAGGTTGTTTGCCGTTTCAAACCTGTGACCTCCAGGTCAATGGAGCAACCTTAACGTTGCGCCAAGGTCCTCCCTCTTGTCAAACATGGCTACATAAAAGAAGTACAAGTTGTTGCCTTAATGCATGTCCATGTGAAAGTAATAGCATGGCTGTATGTCAGCAATTAGATATCCTTTTCTGACATTCCAAAATTTCACCATTTATGTTCATGTAGCATTGTCAAAAGGTTTTGTACTTTCCATCAACCAGACACTCCTTGTCCTTTCGTTCAAGATTACTTCGTTTACTCATGAGTGAGTTTTTTTAGGTTTTTTCCCCTCCAATAACTTTTGCAATGCCCTAGATTCATAACCTTTTTATAAATCATGGCCTTTTAAATAATTATGTTGTCCAACCTGACCAGATCCCCCCCAACCCAAAGAAAAAAGGAGGAGGAAACACACACACACACACACACTATACCCGTACATAAAAGAAATGATGAACTGTTATTTGAAGTAATAATGTTGGGATTTGATACACTACCTTAGGTCCTTCTTGACCAATAAAAAAATAAATAGGCAATCTAAAGTGCAATGAACCACGATTAATTAATTCCCTCGACCTAAAGTGCAATGAGCCACCATAAATGCATTCCCTCTTAGGATATACTGATTATTATCACTAAGATGATTAGCATGTATACAACTTGTTAATGTAGCCCTCTGAAGCATAGCATGTAACCATTCTCATTGGCTGATAACTTGTTGCAAAGGCAGTGTTCTTTGAAAACTATTTCTATAGGATGAGTTATAAAGAATGATAGGGGAAGTTCTACAGTTAAGTTGTCTTGTGATTCTTACTTCTGATAGAGCCATTTTGAGCCCATAGTCCTCTAATTGGTAAGCAAGCTCACAGATTGACTCTTATTCTTTTTGTACTCCATTATCATCATTCATTATTGTCTTTATTTTCTTCATTTTATATTTATAAATTCTCCATTCTATTTTTTTTTCCCATCTACATCGTTTGTTAAGATGACACGTGTCTCCTCATTTGCAACAGTGTGGACACTTATAGAAGAGCTCAATATCATTTACATCTTACCTTTTATGGGTAAGAAACCCATTATTAAGTTCTTCCTATATCACCCTCTATTTAATTGTACTTTTACATAGAAATACAGACTCACAAGACAAATTCGCGTTATACGAAGTATAATGTCAAGACATGTTTGAGCTAAAAGTAGTAAATTCACATATATGCTTGCGTCCATTTGCCGTGGCAAATCAAAGAGTGTACACAAGAGAGGGCACTCAGGTGAGACTTCTCTCAGTAGATGTAAAGTATCTAGCATTACCCAGCATTCAAAAGGCTCTCTTACAAGATCAAACATATAAAAATTCAAATTGGTTGGGTGACCTTTTGATTTTGAGTGTGTTTTAGAATATTCTGAACAAAAAAATTAAAACAATTCGAGAAAAAAAAAAAATCAAGGAAACATTTGGTCAACCTATTAGTTATCCTCATTATGATCCATGCGTAGTTCGTTGTACAAATTCATCATCTAATGATTATAGATAGACCATTACAGATAATGCAAATTGAAGTCACCATTATTAATTATGTGAAAATTTTAAACTGTGGCATTCTTTAAATTCAAAATTTAGCCGCATAGGATCAATTGTGGAGGTGACTCTGGTTTCCTTGAATGGCAGTATACATAGGTGGTGAATTTCCACATTCACCTCCTGTAATATACATAAACCATTCAATTTCACCGTGATGATCGCTTCAACACAAACTTTAAACACACTTTTGTATACTTGAGCTCTAATTACAACCCACAACCTGCTAGTTTTTAACTTGATCTCTAATTACAACCAACAATTGCTATATTTAATCGTGTTATGAGGATATGCGGTATGAATGGTGCACGAGAGAAAGAAGAAAAGGTGAAATAGGATAGTCCCCCATATTAATTAATGGATGCTACAGAAGCAAAATTAGGGCTACATGGTGCAATGAAAAGAAAGCCCAGGTAGTAAAGTACGAGAATAATAGTTCGAGGCCAAGGGCAGCCCCTTTGCATGAATATCTAGATTTTGGGGGGTCTTTCACTGCCAGAACTCAAGATTAATGGGACCAACAATGGTTAACAACATATTGTTATAAATGGCAGAGCATACCCTTCCATAGTTGCTAGTTGTTACTTTCGCGTTAAAAAGCCTAATTTTGTAAAATTATTTTACTAAGTGTGAAAATGTTTTAAGCTTATGGAAATTACAAAAGGAAAATCGAATAGAAGCAATGCTTCCAAAGAACTTTTAGGGGGACCATGGGTGGAAGGAGAAGTACTCTGAGTCTGAGCCTATTTGGTTCACGTGATGGACTGGTTGTCAATGATTGCTGTGAAAGAAGGTGGATCACAGGGTGAGTGATTGTGTGCAAGGTATACAGCAACTGGACTTGTTCTACTGAGTGCTTGGAGCTTGAGAGAACTGCGCGTGACAACAGGTAACTGACAGGAATGGTGTAAATTTTAGATAAATCAACAAGTCAGTGTTCCCAAGATAGGAGCATAATTGGATGTAATTGTCGTGCTTCTTCTTTACGTGGTGTCAGAACGGTGACTTTTTCATGTTTGAGGCTTTCATTGAAATCATCGTCACTTTCGTTTGCTTTACTTTATATTTAATTACATGCTTAAGATTATGGGTACATACATGATCAATTAAATAACTTAAAATTAAAGTTGGAAAGCAAAATCAAACAAAATAAAAAGAAATGACCTGCCATAACACTTTACCTCTAGGCTATTGCAACAATACCTCTTTTTTTTTTTTTTTTTTTTTTTTTTTTTTTTTTTTTTTTTTTTTTTTTTTTTTTCCCTAGTTACCAATACCTCTTCTTTTGTTTATGCAACTGTATCTAAAATTTTAAAATGTCATCATTCAGATTACAAACAGTAGTTGTTTGAAGCTTGACCACACATGACCAAAGTGCATAATAAAGTTATTAGAGGGTTGAAAGAAAGAACTACTATGATAAAAATGGCAAATTAAAAGTTCCCCTCATATCATGCCTTTAGATGGTGCTTTAGAAAACTTCAACACTTTCCAATTTCCACAATTTAGTTGCAGTTTCTAAAATAAAATGTTTCCTCTAGGCTATTGCACCAATACCAAAAGAAATGACCTGCTAAATCACTTAACCTCTAGGCTATTGCACCAATACTCCCTTCTTTTGTTATGCAACTGTATCTAAAGTTTACAAACGTCACTGTTCAGATTATAGACGCTACTTGTTTGAAGCTTTAGTTGCTTGACGATTGACCACACATGTAATAGTCTGTGTGCATGCATGAGTTGCTAAGTGCTGAAATTTCTAAAATGCAGCAGACTAAAGTTCTTAGAGGATTGAAAAAAGAACAACAAGAACTACTACGATAAAAATTGCAAAACAAAAGTTCCTTTCATATCATGTTTTTCTTTCTGGATATCATCACTTTCCAATATCCACAATTTAATTGCAGTTCCTAAAAGAAGATGATTCCTCGAAGTCCAAACCATGCATAGAAATATTTTATTTATTGGTCTAAACTTGATTAAAATCTACGTAAATTTCCGCAATTTATACCACCTCTACAATGACAAGAACTTGACCTGAAACTCTAAATGCACTGTTATAAGATGCATAGAAGCACAAAAGTAAAAAATCTACAAAAATAGAAATCAAAATCAATCTTTTGCATATAATAGACCATGCCAATTCTTATTTCCCCCCTTTTTTTGGCATCTTCTATGACAGTTATAAGTTTCAAAAGTGTATATCCAAGTAACTTAAGCCATTTTTGCAGAAGAAATCTTTTAACAACCTTTATTTCCAAAAGAACAAAAAAAAAAATCAAAAGGTTGAAACAACACACAATCGTTATTTCACTAATCGACAATTGAATTGAAACAAGCAAAAGGTTGTCGAATCTCATAACATTTTGGGATAATATTGACTCTTTTCGATTTCCAAATTTTCTCTCTTTTTCAAAAATTCTCACCAACCAAACAAAGGAAAAAAACATATATAATACCCGGAATCAAAGATTCAAAATTCGCATCCACAATCAAGCTTCCAATTTATCAGAATATGCTCCAATAAAAGAAAGCAATTCGAAAATCGATGATTAAAGCTGCAATAATGAATTAGTCACGAAATTACAAAGATATATAATTGAACCTCTGCTGATTATATATACGTATATATATATCGAGAGAGAGGAACATACCTGGAACTACCAGAAACGAAAGTCAAAATCGAGAGTCAATGCTTTCTGGATATTAGCAAAAACAGAGAAAGAGATAGAGAGAGAGAGACAATCAGAGCTTAAAATAATAAAAAGGTTTGAGAATCAATGCCAATTTTAGCAAAAAAAGAAAGAAATACTACCGTTAGAGATGTGTTCACACGTGCATGGAAACTCCCTCTTTTCACAAAAGTGGTTTCATTTCTACCCTCTCTCTACGCTCTTCTTCACCATGAATTTTGATTTTGAATTTCCTATTATGACTTTGTTTTACTTGTTTTGTATGACCTGAAAAACTTGTGTTTTATATATATATATATATATATATGTAATTGTTTTTGGTCCACAAAGGAATATGCGAGCCAAAATAACTCAACTCGCTGTCTCTCACTGTGTCTCTGATAGGGCGTAGGTGAAAAAGTCTAAAAACACGGTGAGTGGTCTACAAGGACAATTATGTGGAATGACGAAACTACCCCCCTCGTGACGTGTGTGACAATCCGTCAATGAGTTGGGTGGGTCACTGAGATACATGGACCGAGAGGAGTTGTCTGAAAAATGGCCGGAGGTTGATTTCCACGAGTCCCACGGACCCTAATCACCCGCCAAATCGTTTTCACTTTCAATATCTGATTTTGTTTCTTTGCTCAGCTTCTCATTAATGGCTAACCACAATATAATACCTTTATGCCATGTTACCAAAACCAAAAGTAAAATTAGAGGTGCACAAAGAACTATTTGGTTCTGAGTCTCAACATTTCGATTCTAATTTTTTAAAAACTATTAGAATCAAATCAATTCTAATTTAGCCAGGAACTGTATCGAACCAGATTATATGCACATCTAATTCAAAATTGAACATTTTCTTTCTCTGTTGGGTTGGAGGGCCTTCAGCGCATTCTGGATACGAGCCCAAAAATAAAAAGAGGAAAGAACCCTCTGCTCAATTTGATGCGACGAAAGGCCCAATGCGCATTCTGGGTACCAGCCCAACAAAGAAAAGAAGGTACTGCTTAATTTGGTGCAACGAAGCTCCAATTTGGCCCAAAGTACCTAATCCATATATGTGATGCCTTAAGGCCCAACAGACTTTATAAGAAGAAAAATTTAGATTTGTTGTGTACAATTTAATTACTGTAGTTTTTATCAGCTATCAAGAAGATTTGTCTGTATAACGTGTATGCGCGGGCTTGTATGTTTATTTTTGTATGAATGGACGTGACACATCTCTACCAATGGTATTGAGAATCCTAATTTGTTAGCATGAAATCAATTGCTTTGCCTCCAATTAAAGGTGCAGATTTATCAATGCAATGTCCATCTTAGAAGATGTTTAAGAGAAATTATAAAATTGTCAAAATAAGATCGAATGTCTCATATGATAGTGGACTCCATCACTATTATGTAAGACACTTTAGTTGTGGTGAATTCTACAATTATGTGAGATATCCGACTGTATATCAAGTATTTAAACATTTCAAACATGACTCTTCTATATGAGTGGTATATATATCATATCAACTACTCTACTCGTCTCACAAAAAGCATTCACATTTTCTTTGTTGGCTATCCCTAAATAATTGTCCCAGTTAAAAATTTAATATATATATTTTATAATATTTCTAATTTATCCTCTTTGCCTTGAAGTTATAAAAACATGTGATCCCACTGTAGAAGTGCATATTTGAAAATCCATTCTTTACTACTAAAAACAAAAAATAAAAAAATAAAAATTAAAAAACTACACTCTTGAAAAGTTAATGGCGCCCTGATTGGTAACCACTTCTATTTTGTTTTTGTTTTTTTTGTTTTTAATTATTTTTGGCTGTGTACTGTAACGAAATAAAAATACGAAACGTATTTGGTAACGTTTGTTACGATTTGAATAGTACTGAAACATTTCCGAAAAAAAGACCAAAACCGGAAGCAAAGAATTAATGCTTCCGATTGCTTCTGCATTGTAACAAAAACACTTTTCAAAAAGCAAAAAAAGACATTTTTAAACTAAGTATTTAATTTTTCAAAATTGCAACACTTTTTTATCAAACATGTTTTCACGTTTTTACTTCTAAAAATCTTGCAATAAATATACATTGTTACCAAACAGGCTTTCAAATAGTATTGAACACATTTCAAAATAGAAACATTATCTTTATTTCCGGTCAAAACAAAAACACAAAACAATTAAAATTACCAAACAAACCCTAAGTTCTTGAAAAAGAATATTTTTTTTATAGAACCAAGGTGGTACTACATTTTCTTACAAATTAATAAAGTGTGACGTTGGTTTATGATTTGTGTAGTATGAGACAAGCTTACCCTTGAGCTTCGTTAGGTGTACCTAAATTGCTTTGCTCAACCACCACCTCTTATTTGTCCATTTCTTATTATCATCTTCCCTAATTCTTCCCCTCCACCCAATTGTTTTCTCAAGTTACCCTTTCCCCTTCCATGTCTCCAACATTATTCATCAAATTAAGTTTGGGTTCCACACAAATCATTAATAAACAAATAATCAATTGGATAGGTGAAGTCGTTAAGAAAATAACATATCATTCACACCCACTAAGCTCTATGCTTTATTTGGCCTTGGTCAGAGTAGCAACATGAACACACACACATGCATGTATAGTATATGTATGTGTGTGTGTGTGTGTGTGTATATATATATATATATATACCAGCAGAAAAATAGTTTAAAACCACAAGCTGACTTAAGAAAAGATCGAAGAAGAAGTCAGGCCTATAATAGCTTCAATGACGTTGATGGATTTGAGGTACCTTCCAACCCCTCCAAGTCAATGCTTCTAACATAATTATATTATGTGTCACTATATATGTTTTCTTTTAAACATAGATATGTTTTAACATACCTAATAATGTGACACCTAAACTACAAAGTCGTCTTATATAGGCTTCGAAACACTTGAATTGATAGAAGGAAATGTATTGTGATTAGAAACTCTTAATATTCAGTTGCATATAATTGATGTTCTGAAATTAAAATCAAAGAAAAATTAAATTTTAATATATCAATTTTATGCAATCGAATATAATATCAAGAAAATTATTAATCAAAACCAAATAAATGCACTCTTCTAAATTTCACAATTATAACTCAATCTATTCACTCATAAATAGTATATATGTATAACATGCATGACCCATACATCCTTCTAAAATATACTTTGGCAAGAAAAAAACCCAATGATCAATGCAATCTTCTTGGATCAGTAATATTGATCCTCCAATGCTTATTTGGTAACCCGATTTTCTTAGCAATCCCTCTATCCCACTTCAACTCGATCTTTCTCTGCTCCGATAACCCGCAAAACCTTTGCAACTTCACATCCATGGCGTCATGAACCTTCCACCACCTTTCATGAGCAACATCACTAGCATACACAAGTTGGATCCCAATGTCCCAATTACAATCATAGTCCCTATAACACGCCCACGGTTTCAACCCGAGATAATGGATCGCGTACAGCTTCGGAGGATCCGACCCGAACAACTGGTTCTTCACGCTGACCTCACCCGACCCATTTGACCAGAAGTTCTTCAGGAAGTTGACCCTCCTCGGCAACCTGTGCCACCACACGAACACTTCATTCAGGAACCCCTGGTCACCTCCGTTGTATGACACGATCTCTCTCCGGCGCTCCATGAAGATGTTGAACGTGCAGTTTGACGGTTCGATGACCATGACACCCGAGTTGAAGATGGACCCGTCATTGCCGGAGGCCGACATCTGCGGGAAGTGGAAGAGAAGGTCGAGGTTGCGGAGCACGATGATGTCGGCGTCGATGAAGATGATCTTGGTGTAGTCTGTGAGCTGCCAGAGCCGGAACTTGCTGTAGTTGTATTCGTTGTATGTGTTTTTTTCGGCTCTCGGGTTTCGGATCCTCTTGATGAGTCGGATCTTCCACCCGGCTGCGGCCAGCGCGTCGCGTTTGGGTGGGGAGATGGACTTGTCTATGAGGAGGACAAGGTCGCGTTTGGTTCCAGTTTGTAGCAGAGACTGGGCCAGAGTTATCGCGCCACAAACGTACGATTCGGTGGAATGCAGAACCGTAGCGTATGCTTCTCGTCTCACTATTTTGGTGCTGCGTTCGATCTTGGAGACATCGTACACCTTGTCGATTCCTACATTCAATGTTTGTCACTTAATCACATACAAATGTATCAGCTCTGTCAAATATATATATATATTTTTTTCAAGATTGTTTTGTAAAATTAAGATAATAAAATGTGATGGGTTTTGGATATTAGGTGAAAAAACAATGAAATTAGTGTAAATTTTGGAGTGAGGAAACATATAAATAGTGTTTTATTATTTTAAATTATTTTGCAAGCATTTTCAAAGACACTTAATTTAGAATGGAAGGAGTATTATGTAGTGTGAGTCACAGTTTTCATAAGTAACACTTAATTTGAGACGAATGATCTGTCATACTAAATCATAATTTGTTTATATAAGAATTTTATCCTTACAATTTTTATAATCTAATTGAGAAACTAGGAATAATGTACCACACACTTGAGAGTTATAAAAGGACTACACTCATGCTTGAATAAGTATTTTTACACTTTTTTTTCTTGAAACTTTTCTTGTACATTACACCAATTAATTGAGCATGACCCTAGCTAAATGCATTAAAATATCAAAATATATCAAAAGTAGATTAAATAGTTGGCTACCTAAAGCAAACAAATCCACTAACTCACTCCTTAGTCAAATGAAAGCTATGATTAAAATTGTCTTAAATGCGTTTGACATGTCATTATTGAATTTTGACTTTAGAAATTAATCATTACACCTAAAAAACAAGTAGACTCATTGATATATATTTGCAAACGAGCTCAAATTTTTTTTTTTTTTGGCCCTACCACCTAAAATGGGAAATTGCTTAATTTTAGAAAATGGGATATTTTTTAATTTTAGAAACTCGAAATTGAAAATTGAAACCATACCTTTTTGCCATAGAGGCAGAGCCAAATTACAAGAGCCAATAGGCAAAGAAACCTTGTGCTCCAACCTCCCCATCTCCGGCTCAAAGAACCACCAATCACCCTCTTTTCTCACCAAATCTGAACAACTAAACAACTCCAACATAGGCCTACACTTGCTCAAAAATACCACTTTTGCCCTCTTATTCCAATCCCTCTTCCCTTTCCTCACCACCAAATTTGCCACTATGAGATGCACTTGCAGCCTAAACACCTCCCTCCCCCACCCTTGTTCCGGGAACTTGCACGGCAGCTTAGCCACTATCACATCCATATAACCATATTTCTTGAAATCCGGCATTGGCAACTCCGGGCACGAAGGCCCATCGATCTCTTCCTCCTCATCAATCCATTCCGGAAACAAGTCCTTCCATTCAAAGTACTCGGAAACCCGCTCAAAATGAATAGGGATGGCCTGTCCATGCAAATTCCACTCGCTCACATCCTCTTCCTCCATATTCACCATTCCCACCCTTATCCCTCTTCCCATTTCGTTCAACAAACTCGGTTTCTGTCTCTTCACCAATTTTCTCTTGGGCTTTGTTAGATTCCCTCGCGTCTCTTCCAACACCGCCTTCATCTTGATCCCTTTATCCACCTAAAAAAATTCAAACTAGATTCACCACATGTACACACATACACATACTATGCAATAATTGTATGGAAATTGATAAATATCGCCAAATATATGTATGTTTCATTCTGCTCTTAGTACCTTACCTTGTGATGGCATTCGCGCAACGAACACCTAACAAGAGAGGCCGCGTTCTCGGAATAGATTGAAGAAGATGGCGGGAGGAGGAGAAGAGTGGCATAGATGACGAGGAAGAAAGCTAGGAAAACGAGGTTGATTCTGATGACTAGAGACTTTGAAGGGGCCTTCATGATGTTTTGAAAGCCTAGGGTTCTTGTGACACCAGAACTCCAAAGGTGCAATAGAACAAAACAGGACAGTTTTATATTCATCAACTTTCGATTACTTTTTTAAAAAATGTAGGGGTAGGATTGGGGAATTATATATGGGGATTAATTTATTTCATGAGGGGGATTGGGGCTGTAGTGGTTAGAGAGGAAAAAGAGGGCAAAAATTTGGAGTAGAAGTTAAACACAAGTAATTAGAGACCACTTAGAGAGCCCCATGTGTCAATCACCTTTGCTTTGGTTCTTTTTATATTTGGTTTCGTTAATGACAAAAGGGTTTGGAGCAAACAAAGCTTTAATTCTTTGCCATTTTGGAGAGAGATTTTCTCAAGTTCCAAATACACCCTGTTTTTTGTCTCCCAACCACGATGCTGCCCTTCACTTGCATTTGTTCAACTACCTTCCAAATGTATCATTTGGAGAAAGTTGAGCTTTAAGGAAGTCACTTTATGTGATCAATCAATAGTTCAATTCTACAGTGACTTAGTTGATAGAACGCCCAACAGTGACTTAGTTGATACAATGCTTAACTTTTTTAATCAGAGTATTCGTATTCGACTCCCTTTTATCTCTAGTTTACCCAAAAAAATAAAAATAAAAAAAGTTTAATTCTATACAATGCAACCTCATGTTGATCAATATTGAATAATAATAAGTTTGTTTTTTTTTTTTTTTTAAAGCTAGTTTATCACTCTATTAATCTCATGTTCACATAAGAGTACCTCATTGTATGATTCATTTTAATTCATTTTGCAAGTACTTACTAATGATTATTTGACATATATCTTACAATCACAATTTTGCAAGTACTTATTAATGATTATTTGACATATATCTTACAATATTGTGATTTGGGAATTTGGGACATATTTATCCTTTTATATTAATGTTTTGATTTCAGACTAATATCATTATAAAAAAGAACTAATTCATCGCACGAGACTCATCATTGTAGAGTTTGAAAGAAGTCAGTTCTACACATATTTATCTCTAGGAGAGTCTGTTTTTAATTTTAAACATGTAATCTCGACTAGGTCATGATAGAGTAATATTATTGTTGTGCCAAGACTCACCTTCAGACGCATATCATCACACTTGTCACAAGATACTTTGGAGTTCCTACAAAAAAAAAAAGAAAAAAAAAGAGGTGAATGGTCTAGAGTAATTTAGAAATCAAAGAAGGGGTAGAATGGGAAAGTTAGCATTTGTTGGTGAATCATAGGGATTTAGAGTAGGAATCTTAGAAAATAACAGCTAAATTAAGAAAAAAGCACATATGACCCCGCCAACAACTCTATGGTTGCACCGTCAACTTCCTACATGCAGAGAAATGTCGCTTTTAGCCGTTACGAAATCGCAAGGCTCCACCAATTTTTTTTTTATCCCTTTCCTTAATGTTATTGTCTCTTATACACTTTTAGTTTATATTATATAATCGTGTTTAGGTAATTGGTTCTCACACCTCACCAAATTGTTGCCATGTTTTGCACGACCAAACTCCATAACATATTCATGACACACACACACACACACACACATATATGTACATCACACCTCACCAAATTAATTGTAACCATGTTCTGAACGACCAAACTCAATAGTGTGGTAGACTATCACATTTATATATATCAAGTGTCAACCGCTTGATAATTAGACCAACCACAGCTAGAATGTGGCATGATGGTATGGTGACCACCAGATTATTTTATTTTATTTTATTTAAAATTTATTTACTTATTTGAACTGTGTTGTGAAAATGGATTAATCATATTGTCAAGTTTATTATTTTCTAACCAATTAATTTTCCTAGAAAAGGTGTGATCAGTTTTGTTTTGAGTTGCTACGTTAATTCTATTTACAAACAAGAAGTTGAAAATACAGAATCATGTTTTAGTAAAAAGATTGTATAATGAAGTACAATTTAATTTTTATGGGCTGATAATATGAAAATTATTCATATTTTCAGATATATAAAATATGCTAACTTACAAATAATTCACGTAAACTGTAACCAATTAAGCATTATTTTTTTATTTCTGGCCATTTGCCACAAATCTCTTCTTAGGATATGGTTGGTTTCATCTACTCTTGATATTCATATTATATATATGAATAAATATATGTATAGTTGTGTGATGTGACAAGAGTAGAAGCAAAATTGATGACAAAATTTCCAAACTAATTAATTTATTTTTTTTCTTCTCTGCATTTCAATTGCAAAAGTTGCATATTTCTAACATCAATGCGAGGAAACAACGTACGTTGGGTTAATAAATTGATATTTACAATTAAATTTGAGATGGAAAATATATCCATTATGAATTTTTAATCGCTATCTTTAACTTCATTTTATCACGTGGAATGTAACTTTAATGTTTTTAATTCTCTAATGCGCTTTCTCATGTATAACTTTTTTTATTTATTTATGAACAACCAATTTTGATTGATTTTAATTTTAATTAATAGTGAAACGGTGATGTCTTATTTACTTTGATACCATGTTTATCATTATTTACTTTAAAAGTTTAAACTGTCAGAAAAAAAATACTATAATTGTAATAGTTAAATCTGCTAACAAATTCTATTAAGTGATTTTTAAAAAACGTATAAATGCTTGAACTTTTTAATTAAGAGGTCTTGCTTTATGAAACCAAATAAAACTTAACAAGACACTAATCAATGAAATATATATATATATATATATATATATATATATATAGATCAATGCACTTGAATTTTTTTCAGATGGACTTGCTGTTTCTAACAATATTATGTATTATCTGTGGCATGTCATTTTGTGATTTTAACGTTTACAAGCACAATGAATTTGATGTATGTTTTCCTCTACAGATTCAAAACTAAACTTGAAAATTTTAATATTTGCATTATTAATTCTCTTGCGACAAGCCTACGACAAACAAATATTGACAATGTTTTACTTTTATTTATTTATTATTTTTTGTGAACTGTGTTATGAAAATGGACTAATCAGAGCGTGAAGTCCATTACTCCTCCTAACCAATTAATTTTGCTAGAAAAGGTGTGATCAGTGAGTGTGTTTTGAGTTGTTACGTTAATTATATTTTTTTTGGGTAAGTAAGTTACGTTAATTATATTTACAAAGAAGAAACCAAAAAATACACAATCATGTTTAGGTTCGTACGTGAAAAATGGATTTCTAGTTCCATCTAGAAACTGCTTCACCAGTCTTTGGTTATACTTCTTTACTGCATATGAAGTATAAGTTAATTTTGTCGGATGATGACATGAAAATTTACACACACACACACACACATAGATATATATATATATAAAATATTTTAACAACCAATATACGTAAACGTGATTATGTAACCCAATCAGAATGGTCCGGCTTTCAAAGCAAACTCGGAAAGAACAATAAATTTTGTAAAGAATGGTCAATGCCGGCCCCCTGCTGTGGAACGGGATCGTGTCACTAAAACGGTCGATTGAGTGAGTGAGTGAATGCGGGTCTCGTGTTAAGTTTTGTTTGGGTTTCGCATCAATCTATTGAAACAGAGTAGATATTGGTGTGCTGTGCGTGCTCTACATATACGTTTTAAAAAACAAAACGTTAGTCTACTTATTTATAAAATTACTAATAACAATATAAGTGTATTTTATTGGACGAATATTTTAATTACTTTACGACACCAAAACAGTACCATTTTGAATATGACTCAACGGTTTATTTGCTGGACTTTAGAACTTAACAAATTCAAGATCTAGAGTTGGAGTTTAGCTCGGTATTCTTTGTGACTAACTTCCGCTACTCCTGTAGTGACTTATCCGGCCCGAATGAGGAGATGCCCTTTCGATTTCTCGATAATTAATCGAATTGTTAAGGAACCCTAAGGATTCGTGCCTTTCCAGACATCCCGAGTTAACCTAAAAAAAAAAAATCAGTACCATTTAATGTATCAGATGCACCGAGATCCCGAGGGAATCCAAATCCGCGTCCAATCTTTTACTAGTAATATATTACCATTTTTTATTTGGGTGCCGTTTGGTGCATCATCGAGGTCCCTATGCATCTTTTAATATCTTGCCATGTGCCACAAATCTCATTTTAAATTGGGGAATTGGTGGAATTGTTATGGTTTGACTCCCTTATTGGGATATGTTTTTTATTTATTTATTTATTTATTTATTTTTTTTTTGTCTGCCAAGTGAAAATAGAGTGAAGGAAACAAGGGACATTTGGTTTAATAAATTGATATGTACAATCAAATTTGAGATGTAAAATATACTCATCACAAACCTTTTTTTTTTTAATTTCTTTTTTGTCTTTTTCAATAGACTCATCATATAAATTTTTAGTCACTCTTTTTAACTTTATTTTATCAGTTCAGTAGACTTATTGGATAAAGGTTCCACTAATTTTTACAAAATTTTAAAATGCTGGACCTTTTTTATACATGCATTTGAATTTCAAAGGCAACATTGAACCATGAGAATGGATATTCTCTAATAGTTTTTCTCTCTATGAATTTATGAAGTTTTGTTTGGCAATCGTTTCTGTTTCGTGTTATGGATAGTGTATTGTAACGAAGTAAAACATGGAAACGCGTTTGATAATATTTGTTGCGATTTGAATAGTACCGTGTGTGTTTTTGAAAAAGAGTCAAAATAAAAAATACAAAATTGATGTTTATGCATTGTAGATGAATAGTGCCAATTTTTTTTTTTTTTTTTTAAACGACCTTTTTAAAATAGTTATTATTATTATTTTTTCAAACTTGCAACATATTTTTACCAAACATGTTTCCATAATTTTGCTTCCAAAAATCTTACAACAAATTTTACGATACTAAACATGCTTCCAATAACTATTTATTTAACACACTTCAAAACAAAAATATTATTTTTATTTTGGATGAAAACAAAAATGTTTCTGGTTGTCAAATAAGGTTTTAAGCTTCCATCCAACAGATACAAAAATACCACATGGCTATGGTGTTTAGATTAAGTTGATTAGTAGTATTCAAGTTCATTGATTAACAAGTCTTGCTTGATGGAATCAATTATTTTTCCTTTTTTTTACTCATAAATTTTA